AAAAAAAAAAAAAGAAAACCAACAAAACAAAACAAAACAAAACCCTCTCCAAAAAATGTTGATTTTGGGGGCCAGCAGGTGATGTGGTGGTTGGAATGCTGGTCTCTCAAACGGCTGACCATGGTTCAAGTCCTGGACATGGTGGCTTGCTTTCTCACTCTCCCTCCCTCTCTTTCTTTCTGTGTGTGTCTCTGTCTCTCTTTGGTCAAACTGAAGAATGAATAAAATTAAATAAATAAATCTTTTTAAAAAATGTTGATGTCATGAAAATGAGACTGAAGAAGTAGATTGAAAAACTCTAAAGTGGGCCAGCAGGTAGTATAGTGGTTAAGGGGCTGAACTCCCACATGGCTGACAGAGGTTTGAGTTCCGTATTCAGTGGCTTAAAACTCATGCTGGGTACATGTGTGTGTGTGCCCAGAATCATGAGAGAGGATGGAGGATAAGGGATTGGGGTCTGGGGGGTGATTTTTAACTTTCCTTCTGTTTCTGTCTTTACAGCAAATGCACGCACCCTATGACAAAAACTTTGAAAATAAATTCTGAAGAGATGTGACAACTAAATGTAATACATAATTCCAAGTTGAGTTTTGTATTTAAAGGAAAACTTTAAGGAACATTATTGGTATAACTAGAGAGATGTGAATACAGATTATATATTAGAAAATAGTATCATACCATTGTTAATTTTCTTGAACGTAAGAACAGTATTATGGCTGGGAGGAAGAATATTCTTGCTCTTAGGAGGTAAGTGCTGATAAAGGATACAATACACAATGTTTGCAACTTATTCTCTTTTTTTTTTTTTTTTTTGAGAGGTTTTCGCTATAGGGCGCGTGCGCTTGCCAGACAGACAGAGAGAGACATAGAGACAGAAAGTGAGAAATCCCCCCCCCCCCCGGGGGGGGAAGAATGGTCACGCCGCAATCCCTTCTCCTCTATTCTCCTCTTGGGATCTTGGGCACGCATGCACTCGTGCCCGGCGTGAGTTTTAAGCCACCGGGTCCGGGACGCGAACCGCAGTCAACTATGTGGGAGTCCAGTGACATAGCCATTATGCTAACTGCTGGTTCCCTATGTTTGCAACTTATTCTCAGGTGGTTGAGCAGTAAAATGAAATACACATGTGTGTATGTATATATATAAAAGCTGAGTTCGTCTCTGTATTATTTTATTTATTTATTTAGGGATTTTTGTTCTAGGGCATGTGTGTTCACCAGAGAGACAGAGAGACAGAAAACGAGACATCACTCCCCAGGAGGGATGGCCACACCATGATCCCTTCTCTTCCATTCTCCTCTTGGGATTTTGGACCTGCATGCACATGTGCCCAGTGAGAATTTGAAGCTACTGGGACTGGGACTTGAACCGTGGTTGACTATGTGGGAGTCCAGTGCCTTAACCACTATGCCACCCATTAGCCCCTCATTTCTGTATTACTAAAGTGAAATAATCCAAGGCCAAATAAGTAAATGACATCCAACCTCTGTAGCAATCAGACAGTCCCATTTATTAGTTTTAAATACCCTTGCATCAGGGAACCTCTGTGTCAGAAAGAATGCTATGAAAAATTTGCCTCTTTGGGTTTCCATCTTTTCTTTCAAGATTTTTATCATACGGTGCATGTGTTCATTAGAGGAACAGAGAGAAAGGGAGAACAGAGACACACACAGAAAGGGAAACTGAGAAATCACTCCCCAGGTGGGATGATCACACCACAATCCCTTGTCCTCCTGTTTCCAGGTAGGATTTTGGAGACACACACACACACACACACACACGCGCGCGCGCACACACACACACACACACACACACACACCCATACACACACACACCTGGTATGTTTTCAAGCTGCCGGGTCTGGACTGGGCCACACCCATACCAGCACCTTCTTTTTTTTTTTTCTTTTTTTGGAGAGGTTTTTGCTATAGGGCGTGCGCTCGCCAGACAGACAGAGAGAGACAGAGAGACAGAAAGCGAGAAATCATCCCCCAGGGGGGATGGCCACGCCACAATCCCTTCTCCTCCATTCTCCTCTCGGGATCTTGGGCATGCACGCACACGTGCCTGGCATGAGTTTAAGCCGCCGGGTCCGGGACTCGAACCGCGGTCGACTACGTGGGAGTCCAGCGATATAGCCATTACGCTAACTGCTGGTCCCTGGAGCCAGCACCTTAACCACCACACTACCTGTAGCCCTGTGTTCCCGTCCTTATGCATTCACTAGCTGATTGAGCTATATATCAAATTAATTCACAGCAGGGATAGGGACTTCTCAGAGCAGCTTCCTTCTGGCAGGATGGCAGAGGACGGGCAGGCACTAGACACCCGGTCCCTGGTGGACAGGCAGCTTGAGACAAGCGAATTGCGTTGCAAGGTGGATCATACGACAAGACGACAGTCACGGGTGTTGTTGCTGATCTCAGTGGCTCTGTCTGTGCACTTGACATTGTGGCTCACAGGTAGAAAGCCGCTTTCTTGTCTGTTCTCATACAGTGACCCCTGCCCATATTTGGAGTGTTTTTAAAAGGAAACTTCAAAGTCTTAGGATAATTAATTCTCACTTAAGAGATAGACTAAACAAGCCTCTGTTCCAATAATTAAAAGGCGCCCTCAAAACCTAAATGTTTCAAGCAGATCCTGGTCTAGGTTCATTGTTTTGTTTATCCTGAAAGCAGCCGGGGTAACGGGAAAGCGCCTGCATCCTGGCGCTGGAAGGCCTGCGCTCCAGTCCCAGCAAGGCCGCTTATAATCGTGTGGCTTCAGTCAAGTTACTTATCTCTAGGGCCTTCGGCTTTCCGATCTGTAAAACGAGGATGAGCTTGTGAGGAGCACCTGCGATGATACACGTCATCACTAACAACTGTGCCTGGAACAGAGGGGGCTCTCTGACACGCTAACGTGATTCCATCTGCTTCCGGCACCACTAGTCAGAGTGCCATTCGTGCTACTGTCATCTTGCATGTGCCTTTTGGAAAGGAGGCTTAGTTTTCTGAAAATGTTTTTATTTTTTCCCCTACATATAATCACTTATTTCTAACCTATCTAACACATAAAAAATATATACTTAGGGCCAATAGGTGGTGTAGTGGTTAAGGTGTTGGATTCCCACCTGGCTAATTGTGGTTCGAGTCTTGGACCCAGAGGTTTGAAACTCATGCTGGGCATGTGTGTATGCACGCCAAAGTCCCAAGAGGGGAATGGAGGAGAAGAGACTGCCGTGTGGCCGTCTCCCCCGATGAGTGATTCCTCACTTTCTCCGTCTCTTTCTCTGCCGAGTGCACGTGCCTGACAGCAAAAATCTCTTTAAAAATTTATATATATTAGTGTGTGTGTATGCACTCACGTGTATAATTTCAAATGTTCATATGATGTTCCAAAACATCGGAGGGACAACTTTGATATTATGGACTTTAAGATGAATAAATACATATTTACGAACAGATTAGAAATGAAATCTCACTGTTTAAAAACATAGGCTTGACTATATAAGGCACACAGAAAAGCTTTAGTAAGTTTGGTGTGGTTTTGCTTCTGCAACCAGGAAATATTAGTAGGGGGATGACTTAGTGAGTGAGTAATTTGTGAGCTAGACACTAAGTTAGTTTTACGACAGCAGCTGCCCAAGCAACAGTCATCTTCAGAAGGTGGGAGGTGAACCAACCTCCCTTCCAGCCTTCATGGCTGAGGAACCGTGTGTGTCTAGATTTCCTTCCCTTCAGATTTCCGTGGGATGCTGGAAGGAGGGAGGTGCTACCTTGAGGCGAGAGCGTGTTCTTGCCGGTGTCCACTGGCGGGAGATGCATTGTTAACCCTCTTGGTCTTTCTAAAGACGCATACTTCGTGGAAGATCTCCATAAAGTCCTGGTCTCTGCTGTTTTTTGTTCTGACTCAGGGCGTGGAGCACCTAGGAGACAGAGAAAGCCACGTTGTAGTCTATGTCTGTGGTTGGTGCCAGGTGTCTCTACTTTTGGGGACCTCTCCCTCCCCTGCTCACACATGTGGTTTGGGTGGAGCTGACTCCACCCCTGGCTCTAGGCCATGTGACTGAAGCCTGGCCTTGGAGAGTATCAAATGGCCTTAGTCACTGTGATTGGTTCCAGATCAGGCATATGACTGAAGCCTGGCCAATCAGAGGCAACCTTAGCATTTTTGCAAAAGCTTATAAAAGGCAGATCTTTATTACAGAGGGTAATGGGTAGGAGGTTAGCATGGAGTCACAGGAGGACAACTTCTCACCACGTGGTGCGAGTCAGCTTGAGAGGAAAAGCTAATAGACCTGACTTAGACTAACTACTGGCCAGATGACATTTTCTGAGGTCTGGATCCAACTGCTCCTGGAGTTAGCTGATCCAGGAGTGAGCTTATATCATGACTTTTTTTTTTTTTTTTTTTTTTTTGCTTAATGCACTTTGGGTTAGGCTCTGGTTCTTGTAACTGACATGTGAAAGAGCAGAGACTCCGTGGCTCGTTTTCTTTGTACTTTATTCGTTATTTTTCACTTGGCAGCTTGTTGGCAAGCTTAGTAGCTAATAGCTCTCGGGGTTCCTGATGGCCTGTGGTCTTCCTGATCTTCCTGTGGTAGTCATCATGGAAAATAACCAAATTTAGCTCAATCTTCTGATAGTCTTATCTGTTTGTATTGTGTCTTTTTATTTTATTTTGTACTTATTTAATTTTTAAACATTTATTTATTTTGAAAGTGTATTTCATTCATCACAGAGTGCATGCACATGCACAAGAGACAGAGGACGCCAAAGGGTCTTGTCATGCCATGGTCCCTTTTCCCCAGCCTTTCGGCTCCTCCGTGTCGTGGGCACCTGTGCATGCTGGACATGTTTTCAAGCCAATGTGGGGATTCAAACCTGTATTTGACCATGTGGCCTCCAGCACTGCAGTTCAATTTGCTACCAACCACACCCACCAGACTGGGCTGAGTATGTCTTTATTTTGATGTGTTGACATCTGGGATCTTCCTCACCTTGTGAAGACTGTCCCTTCCAGGGCTAGCCAATTCCTAGAGATGGTAAATGACTCACCTGTGGTACACCTGTCATTTGCAAACCAACCCACCCATAGACCCCACACCCCAACTACCTCCTTTATAGAGTTCTTATACCCCTGCCCTAATATGTCCCTCTGCCGTAATAACCCTAGGGCAAGTTCCAGAAAATGATGGACAGCCACCTTGGCCCAGAGCGCACTACATCATTCAAACAAGCTGGTACTAAATCCGATTAGCTTGCTTGTTGTGCCACAACTATTCTTCCTGAGAAAACCACAATGGAGACTAGTGCCCATATTGCCCCCACTTTAATTGTTTTTCTGTTTATTTGTTTTTTGCTATGAGTCATGTGTACTGACTGGAGAGAGACAGAGACAGAGAGAGAGGGAAAGTGAGAAAGCACTTCTCGGGGTGATGGCATGCTGCAATCCCTCTCTATTCTCCTCTTGGACTTTTGGGCATGCATGCACTTGCACCTGGCATATTTTTCAAGCCAGGCCCAGGGACTTGAACCACTGGGTTGGCTATGTGGGATCCAGCTGCCTTATCCTCTACGTCACTGGATGGCCTGCATCACATCTTTTTATTTTTATTGATTGAGTAATTATCAGAGTGCTTATGCACTCGGCAGAGGGAGAGAGGGAGAAAGAGACAGAGAGAGAGAGAGAGAAACCCCCCATTGGGGTGTGGTCATGTTGCAATCCTTTTTCCTTCATTGCTCCGTCATGCCAGGATTTGGGAAACACATACACACCCAGCTTGTTTTTCAAGGGTCGTGGCTGGGATTCAGACCATGGTCAGGCATGTGGGATCTGACTCCTTATGCACAGGGCTTACTGACCGCTACAGGGACTGGCCCTGTTTTCCCCACTATGCCATGACTGAACCCAAGCTCCCCACGTGGCCCAGCGTGGCGTGGCATGTACCTGCCCTTTGGGATATCTTTTCAGTGGTAATTGTCTCCTGATGCTTTGGCCTCACATTTAAAACACGGTGTGTCTTTTTCTTTCTTTCTTTCTTTTTAGAATTATTAATTTAGGGGCTGACAGGTGGCGTGGTGGTTAAGAGTGCTGGACTCCCACATGGCTGACCAGTGCACGTCCTGGACCTAGCGGCTTGCTTTCTCACTTCTCTCTCTCTCACGGTCACTCTCTCTCTGTCCCTATCTGGTCAAATTAAAGTAAATAAGTGAATGAATAAATAAAGTTAAATAAAATAATTCTTTTAAGAAATAATTATTTATTTTATTTTACTTACTATTTTTTAAAAGTTGCTATAGAGCTCATGTGCTCACCAGAAAGAGAGAGAGAGGGAAAGTGAGAAAGCAAGCCACTGGGTCAGGGACTTGAACTTCGGTTGGCCGTGTGAGAGTCCAGTGCCTTAACCACCATGTCACCTACTGGCCTCCTCCCCACCTTTTTGTTTTTATAGGCTTTTGCTATAGGGCATGTGCACTCACCAGGAAGACAGAGAAAGAAAGAGAGACAGAAAGCGAGAAATCACCCTCCCCCCCATGGGGAATGGCCACACCACAATTCCTTTTCCTCCATTCTCCTCTCAGGATCTTGGGCACACATGCACGCAGGCCTGGTGTGAGTTTAAGCCACCGGGTCCGGGACTCGAACTGCGGTCGACTACATGGGAGTGTAGCAACATAGCCATTATGCCAACTGCTGGTCCCTGTTTTTGTTTTTTAAGGGGTGGATTAATTTTTTTTTTAAAGGTAAAAATCTACAATAGTGGAATACATGTATCTTACCTTCACAGTAGTGACTTTTGACAGATTTGTATATCCACAAAACTAACGGTTTTACACCCCAGGAAGTTGTCTTATGCCCCTTCCATTGACTGATCTTTTAAACTTAGTAGGCGTTCTTTCCTACAGTGAGGATCCAAACACCTTAGAAAGCAATGGCTGCTTGTGTGATTCTTAAGAGTCTCTAAGAAATCAGTGGCCATTTATGCTAAAGCTTCTAGAAAGCTCAGACCTAGAACCCTCTAATAATTGGAAACTCCTTCTGCCTCAGGCTTCCCAGAGAAGCCTCAGGAGGAAGAATGTGTCTTAGGCAAGGGTATTATGGAATGAGTTAGGAAGAGCAGAAAGAAGTTCTCCTTGTGACACAGCATGAGAGGTTACTTAGTAGACTTCGTCAAAAAGCCTTCCTAAAATCCCAGTTGGAACTGATCTCCCTCTTGCCAATACACTCTTATTTAAAGAGTTATTTTATTTAACTTTATTTATTTATTTTAATTTCACCAGAGAGGGACAGAGTGAGAGTAAGAGAGAAAGAGAGAAAGAGGGGGAGAGAGAGGAAAAGTGAGAAAGTAAGCCACCAGGTCTGAGACTTGACCCACAGTCAGTCATGTGGGAGTCCAGAGCCACCACCACACCACCTGCTGTCCCCACCAATGCACTTTTTAAAAAAAGATTTATTTTATTTAACTTTATTTTTTTATTTTAATTTGACTAGAGAAGGACAGAGTGAGAGAAAGAGAAAGAGAGAGAGAGAGAGGAGAGAGAGAGAAAGCTGCCAGGTCTGGGACTCGAACCATGGTCGGCCATGTCGGAGTCCAGTGCCCTAACAAGCATGCCAACTGTTGGCTCTGTCCCCAATATACTCTTAAAACTTTGCTTAGGGATCAGCAGTTAGCATAATGGCTATGTTGCTGGACTCCCATATAGTTGACTGCGGTTAGAGTCCCGGATCCGGTGGCTTAAACTCACACCGGGCGCGTGTGCATGCGTGCCCAAGATCCCGAGAGGAGAATGGAGGAGAAGGGATTGCAGCATAGCCACTCCCCCGGGGGGGTGATTTCTCACTTTGTGTCTCTCTGTCTCTTTCTGTCTTTCTGGCGAGCGCACATGCCCTATAGCAAAAAAAAAACAAAAACAAAAAAACTTTGCTTAAATCGCAAAATCTGTGCCCTGACAAGGATTGTAGAGGTCATTTGTTACATAACAACCTAATTCAAGGTCAGAAAAATAACACTTTGGGCAAACATTTCTTTTATAAAATGAATATCCAGAGATCCAAGTATCACTTTTACCTTGGCTGCCAGGAAACTCAGCTAAATCCAGTGCTTACCTAAAGCAATAAATGAATCCCAAATATCTGATAATATCGATTTCTCTGTTCTTTTTTAATCAGAGTTTTTTTTTCAATTTCAACTTTACTTCTCTCGTTTTATATTATATTAATTTTTTGATAAGCTGCCTGAAAATTTTGCACCTTTGTAATACCTGTAGCGCCCTGGCTTATTTACGTGTGTGCCTGTCTACTTTTCTCTTCCATAGTTTAGCAAAATGCACTGCTTAATAAAGGGTTCAATAAATATTTTAAAAATCAAATTGAATATGACTAGAAGAGACCTACTTCCAGATTTTACCTTTTTTTCCCTTCCTCTAGATTAAAAAAAAAAAAATCCTCCGAAGGTGAGGACTCTGCAAGATTAGCCATGCTTTAGGAGTGGGTTGGATTGACAGGACCCCAGATCCCAGCCCCTCCAGGCCTGCCTGAGTTCCCTCAGGAGCGCCATCCAAGGGGGACCTACCTCTTTTGTGGGCTTTCTCTCTTGTAGGGTGCTGGGTATGGAAATGAATCTCCACGGGAAAGATGAAGAGCTCTTCAGGGGACTCATTGACTTTAAGTTGGCTCCTCAGGGGGTCCAGGACTCTAGGTGGTTCTTCCAAGATAGGAGGTAATTTCAAAGCCTGGAAAAAAATTTAGAAACAAAAGCAACGTAGTAGGTCTTCAGCCTGGAGCATGCAGGAGGCAAATGGTGTTGCATCTTGCAGCTTTTCCACCAGGAGCTGCCGGGCTAGTAAAGCTGGCCAGACCCAGAGCCTGGTGCTGAGGGCAGCGCTGCCCTGTCCTCTCCAGGGAGCTCAGCATGTACCTGTTAGTCCTGACTCTGAGAATTAGAAGCAGTAAACAGGAGCCTTTGAGAGGATGTGCATACTCTTTTCTTTTTGCAACTGGGGAAACTGAGTCAGATAAAATGATACAACCAAATCTCTGTGTGTAGATAGAAATCTTAGCATGTGTGTGTGTCTTTTTTAAAGAAGTATTTCATTAAATTATTATTATTCTTTAGTTTGACCAGAAAGAGACAGAGAGGGGCAGAGAGAGAGAAAGGGAGAGTGAGAAAGCAAGCCACTGGGTCCAGGACTCAAACCACAGTCAGCCATGTGGGAGTCCAGCACCTTAACCACAGGCCCCCTGCTGCCTTAACCACCACACCACGTGCCCTTTTTTTTTTTTTTAAGAATTATTTCATTGATCAAATTAATTATTATTATTCTTCAATTTGACCAGAGGGAGGAAGAGAGAAAGAGAGAGGGCGCGTGTGTGTGTGTATGTGTGTGTGCTTTTCTTTCTTTTCTTTTTGTCAGTGGGTGTGTGTGCTCACTGAGGAGGAAAGGACGCACACCCCAACGGGCTGTGGTCATGCTGCGATCCCTTTTCTTCTATTTCTTTATCCCATTAGGATTTGGGGCATGCACACGTACCCACCCAGCTTGTTTTTCAAGCTCTCAGGGTCAGGATTCCAACTGTGGTCAGCCATGTGGGATCTAGCCCCCTACGTACAGGGCTTAATTGCTGAACTGCAGAGCCAGCTTAACAGGGCATGTCATTATGGGGCAAAAGCAAGATGCAGATCCTTGTTTGGCTGTGCAACATTTCAGGTAAGAAGGGGCAGGGAATAAGAGCATGCACTGTTTTCTTCCCTTATATAACCTCTTTAAGCCTGAATTTCTTCCTCTGTAAAATAGGAGTAATCATACTCCCCATCTCATAAGGTCATAGTGAGGATGAAATAAGCTATTATATGTGGTTACAGTAGTGCTTGGAACTAGGGTTATTTATTTATTTTTTGCCAGAGGACAATGCACTTGCCAGAGAGACAGCAGGAGAGAGAGAAAGAAAACACCCTCCAATGGAATGTATAATGCCACAATCTTTTCACTTTTCACTTTCTAATCTCTACCCTGTCAGGATTTGGGCACACACACACACACACACACACACACACACACACACACAAGCCCACTGTGTTTTTCAAGTTGCTAGGTCCCTGACTCAAACTGTAAGACTGACTATATGGGCTCCCTCTCCCTCAACCACCAGGCCATGGGCCAGCCCTGAACTAGAGTTATTTCTTGGAGATATTTTTTTCGTCATTAGAGCTTATTGCCCAATCTAGCCACTGACAGAAATTTTAAGCCTCTCCACACATCTGCAAATGAACATAGTTGAAAAAGAATCACTGTGTCAGAATCAGTATGAAATTTGGCCCAGCTCTTTATGGTAAAAAAAAAAAAAAAAAGAGTGTGTATGTATGTATGTATATATGTCCATACATGTGCATATATGTATACATGTGTATATATATGTGTATACATATATATATTATATGTACTGGGGCAGTAATTAGAGTCTCTTGTTTCTAATTATTCAGAAATCGCTCCCATTTTCTCTCTGTAGTTTACAGCGTTTAACACATGAACTTGGCTCTATGAAATGTGTATGTATGCTGGGTTTCAGAGGGCTCAGTTTCACAGGAGGAAAAGTAAAAACATTCTCACTTTTGTAGTGCTCAAAAAGAAGAAAATGATCAGAAACACATGTAAGCATCCTACGTGTTTAGAGTTGAATGAGGAAGGAAATTCAGCCAAATATATGCAGGGCAATATTTCTAATTTGGCGACATTAAGAAAATGATTAACCAAACACATGCACATAGGATCTTTATGTTCCTGGAGACCCTTGCTGTCCAGGTGCTGCTGGCCACCAACGGCCCTTTTTTGAATACAGACCTTGTACACTTTGTTTGACAAGGTTTGCATTGAGAAATCTATGTGGAAACTCAAACGATTTGTGTGAGGTATATGGCTGACAAGCCAAGACTTAATTTCTTTATTCTAATTAAAAATTTATACAGAAGTTTAATATAGGGAAAACTAAAACTTTTCCTAACTGTATGCACAGGTTAACATGGGTTAAGGGACGGGCCTCTCTTTCTCTGAGCCTGGCTCCGTTCTGGGCTGACCCAACTGTAAGATTGAGGGCTTTACTTAGGTTTGAGGGAACTAGGGTTATTTATTTATTTTTTGCCAGAGGACAATGCACTTGCCAGAGAGACAGCAGGAGAGAGAGAAAGAAAACACCCTCCAATGGAATGTATAATGCCACAATCTTTTCACTTTCTTATCTCTAACCTGTCAGGTTTTCTATCTTTTTAGAAAGATAGAAAGCTGGTCGGGCCTGCTGTTTCCTCCTGGTCCCAAGGAATCTGGGAAGAGGTAGGCCTTTCTGGTGTGGATAGAAAGGTTTAGATCAGCTGATGCACAGGAAAACTGAGAAAAACCTGCACAGGCTGAAAATAACCTCCTTCACTATGCCAGGACCACCTGGAGTGCCCAAGGCCTTCGGGACTACCTCAGATGACAGGAATCCTCACAATTAATTAGCATCACTGTAGTTCCCAGTTCGGATGTTAGATACTTTCCTATAAGTGCGTCTTCTCTTCTCATCTTTCCATCAGCCTATGAGGTTGGCAATATTGCCTGTGTACACAAATAATGTTACTGCAGGGTGTAAGTGACCTGCTGAAGTCCACATGGCTGGTGCTGGGCAGAACATTCTGGAGCTCCTACTTATTCCATTCATCACTGCTGCCCTCCAAACCACCACGAAGCCATATAGCCTCACAAAGCAGGACTAGGCCAGATATAGCCAAGGACATCTCTGAACAAAGTGTGCTTGGCTTCTGAAGGGGTTTGATAAACCTGCCAAACTTAGGCTGTTGGAAAGGTCATGATGCATTTTTTCTATGCCTACATTTCCGAAAAAGAATCACTGGGTCAGAATCAGGAGAAAATTTGGCCCAGCTCTTTATGGGAAAAAAAAAAAAAAAAGAGTGTGTATGTATGTATGTATATATGTCCATACATGTGCATATATGTATACATGTGTATATATATGTGTATACATATATATATTATATGTACTGGGGCAGTAATTAGAGTCTCTTGTTTCTAATTATTCAGAAATCGCTCCCATTTTCTCTCTGTAGTTTACAGCGTTTAACACATGAACTTGGCTCTATGAAATGTGTATGTATGCTGGGTTTCAGAGGGCTCAGTTTCACAGGAGGAAAAGTAAAAACATTCTCACTTTTGTAGTGCTCAAAAAGAAGAAAATGATCAGAAACACATGTAAGCATCCTACGTGTTTAGAGTTGAATGAGGAAGGAAATTCAGCCAAATATATGCAGGGCAATATTTCTAATTTGGCGACATTAAGAAAATGATTAACCAAACACATGCACATAGGATCTTTATGTTCCTGGAGACCCTTGCTGTCCAGGTGCTGCTGGCCACCAACGGCCCTTTTTTGAATACAGACCTTGTACACTTTGTTTGACAAGGTTTGCATTGAGAAATCTATGTGGAAACTCAAACGATTTGTGTGAGGTATATGGCTGACAAGCCAAGACTTAATTTCTTTATTCTAATTAAAAATTTATACAGAAGTTTAATATAGGGAAAACTAAAACTTTTCCTAACTGTATGCACAGGTTAACATGGGTTAAGGGACGGGCCTCTCTTTCTCTGAGCCTGGCTCCGTTCTGGGCTGACCCAACTGTAAGATTGAGGGCTTTACTTAGGTTTGAGGGAACTAGGGTTATTTATTTATTTTTTGCCAGAGGACAATGCACTTGCCAGAGAGACAGGAGGAGAGAGAGAAAGAAAACACCCTCCAATGGAATGTATAATGCCACAATCTTTTCACTTTCTTATCTCTAACCTGTCAGGTTTTCTATCTTTTTAGAAAGATAGAAAGCTGGTCGGGCCTGCTGTTTCCTCCTGGTCCCAAGGAATCTGGGAAGAGGTAGGCCTTTCTGGTGTGGATAGAAAGGTTTAGATCAGCTGATGCACAGGAAAACTGAGAAAAACCTGCACAGGCTGAAAATAACCTCCTTCACTATGCCAGGACCACCTGGAGTGCCCAAGGCCTTCGGGACTACCTCAGATGACAGGAATCCTCACAGTTAATTAGCATCACTGTAGTTCCCAGTTCGGATGTTAGATACTTTCCTATAAGTGCGTCTTCTCTTCTCATCTTTCCATCAGCCTATGAGGTTGGCAATATTGCCTGTGTACACAAATAATGTTACTGCAGGGTGTAAGTGACCTGCTGAAGTCCACATGGCTGGTGCTGGGCAGAACATTCTGGAGCTCCTACTTATTCCATTCATCACTGCTGCCCTCCAAACCACCACGAAGCCATATAGCCTCACAAAGCAGGACTAGGCCAGATATAGCCAAGGACATCTCTGAACAAAGTGTGCTTGGCTTCTGAAGGGGTTTGATAAACCTGCCAAACTTAGGCTGTTGGAAAGGTCATGATGCATTTTTTCTATGCCTACATTTCCAAAGGTGGCAGACCTTCAACTGAGCAAAACCATTGTTAAGTTCGAGATCGTCAGCATTTTGGTTTGAAGTGGGTCAATGGCTTACAAATTCAGATTCTGTCCTTCCGTGTTTATGGATAATCCCAGACCCTTCCCAGAACAGAGGATTCTGTTGCTACCAGAGAGAGTGTGGTCCTAGCGCATGTTTAAGGTAGGATGGGGGCAGGTGACATTCCTTGTATTTTACTATTTCAGTGTCTGGCTAATTACTACAGCTCTGTTCCAGCTCCACCTGGTGATCTCAGAAGCTAGAGAGGCCAGTTCTCTGCTGAGACATCCCTTTGCGTCACCTCCTTCATGGACTGGGATTAATTTCTCTCTCCCTCTCACACGCACACAACCTTTTTCTTCTTTGCTTCCCCGTGGGTTATATTTTCTGAGCCGGTGGCAGATGCTACAGGAGGGAAAAGGCGTCTTTCAGCAGGTTTAACCCAGTGGCCGCTTCGGGCCTCGTGCAGTTTCACATTCCCTTGTCTGTCTGTGGAACAGGACAGGAACGAGACTGTCTCAGTTGCAGGTCTGGGATGGACAACTGACTTTTTATTATTTTTTATTTTTTTATTACTTATTTTGAACAGAGAGAGACAGAGAAAGAGGCAAAGTGAGAAAGCTAACTGCCAGGTCTGGGACTCAAGCCACAGTCAGCTATGTGGGAGTCCAGTGCCTTAACCACCACATCATCCAGGGGACAGCAGACTTTTAACTATGATCACTTTATGGCTCATGGGGAGAAAGACAAGGAGGGTGCTGGGGCACTGAGGCAGCCCTGGCTTTGGCTGAGGCGGGTTCAGGGAGCCTCGGTCTCATCTGGGTTGGGATCTCGCTGGCTGAATAAACGAGGGAGAGAGTGATAATGCTGATAATAATGAACATGTATTGAGTGTTAAATATGGCATAAGAATTGTCCAAAGTACGTGCCATGCATTAACTCAGTATCCACGATAGCCTTATGAGGATGTTCTTTTTTTTTTTTTTAGAGGTTTTTGCTATAGGGCGCATGCACTCACCAGACAGACAGAGAGAGAGAGACAGAAAGATAGAAAGCAAGAAATCACCCCCCCAGGGGAGATAGCCACGCCGCAATCCCTTCTTCTCCATTCTCCTCTTGGGATGTTGGGCATGCACACACATGCGCCCGGCGTGAGTTTTAAGCCACTGCATCCGGGATGCGAACCGCAGTCGACTACGTGGGAGTCCAGCGACATAGCCATTACGCTAACTGCTGGTCCCTTATGGGGATGTTCTTAACCTCTTTCTAGAGATGAGTAAACTGCCTGAGCACATTAAATAAGTTGGGAATAATTTGAAGCCAAGCTGTCCAATCGCAGCTGTGTGTGGCTAAGTATGAGGCGTAGAGAAGCCTGTCTGTCTCATTCCCATGTCTGAGTGGGCTCTGGGTGTTATTGTCTAGGGTAAATGGCACGAGGAAGTGATATTCAGCCGGCCTCAGTGTTCTCAAATGCACTCTGCACGATTAGGTTTACCCAGATCAGCAAACAAGACTTCTCACCGCTGAGATCTGCCCTCCTGCTAGGGAAGGCACTGCCATAGAATGTAACGTGGGATTGGTCACTCAGGAGCCAAGAATGATCTATGTGGGCGCGCCCGGCGGCCTTCCTGGAGGTTGGCTGTGTCTTTTTATTGTGGCTTTCCTTTGAAGCGTGTACACGAAGGTGATTCTCTATTGATGTGTCCTAGGGAACGACAGATACATAATTCCTGTAAACAGGCTGTCATAAAGGAACAGAGCAGATTTCTTTAACAGTCAGCCCTTGTGGCTAGACTTGTGGTTCCAAGGGTAAAATTTCCTTTGCAGCCTGGGAAGAAAAACAAGATTATCTAATGCTGTTTATGACAGTAAAACATTTTATTATGGATGATACAAAGAATGACACTTAATGCCCGACACATACTGCTTTCATGCAAAAAATAAAACCCCACAAATCAAAAGGAAATACAAATGTCATTGCCCTTGTCCATCTTAAACTATCTGTCCCCTCCCCTTTCCACTGTGTAGCTTCTCCCTCTCCTGTTCTCCTTGACATGTGGCTTTCTTGTAACTTACAGAGTTTATTCAAAATCGGAGCAAGTGTTGTCTGAGTTGCTCTGAACAACTGCGTATCACACGCACAGGCCTTAAAGTTTAGTTTCTATGTTTGGACTCATTTAATCCTCATAGTGACCGTGTGGTAAGTGTATGATAACAGCTTCGTTTCACAGAAGAGATAATTCAAGTTCAAGTTAGTTAAGTTTCTTGGACATGCTCATTGTAACTAATAAGAAGCAGGACTCAAACCAAGGCCTTTCTAAGGCCAGGAGCAGGTTTTTCTTTCTTTCTTTTTCTTTTTTTTGGAGAGGTTTTTGCTATAGGACACGTGCACTCACCAGAAAGATAGAGAGAGACAGAGAGACAGAAAACAAGAAATCACCCCCCAGGGGGGATGGCCACGCTGCAATCCCTTCTCCTCCATTCTCCTCTTGGGATCTTGGGCATGCACACACATGCGCCTGGCGTGAGTTTAAGCCACTAGGTCCTGGACTCGAACCGCAGTCGGCTACATGGGAGTCCAGCAACATAGCCATTACGCTAATTGCTGGTCCCCATGGTTTTTATTTTTCCTAGATAAGACGACAGTTGCTTAGCTGGAGTGAGTCAGAAGGCTCTGTGGTTAAATAAACTTGGAAACCCAAGAGTTAAGCAGTTAAACTGGTGACTTCACTATGGAAGTCTGAGTGCTCCGTGTTCAAATGGTGCACCGTGGCTTTCCAGGAGAAGACAGTCTGCAGATGTCCCAAGCGTATTTGGCTACAAAACCCTTTTATTCAAGGAGCATCTGGCGATGCTAGGGTTCCACAGGCGACGCGCTGGGAAACATGGTTGAAAGGATCAAAGTACTTCTCTCCTCTCTGGAGGACCCTGAGAAACGGCAAAGGGAGGGAGAATCCCCTCTGCGGTCAAGGAGAACAACAGAGAGGAGCCCATGGGAAACGGTACCTCTGCCCGGCTTTCCTCCTCCAGCCAGGGCTGCTTGCTGAGAGGTGGCAAGCGGCTTCCCTGCCTGCCGAGGTTCTTGGCTAAAGATCCCTGGTCCACGTGTCCATTATCCCCAGCTTTCCCTTCATCCGGGCCCTGTTGATCTGCAAAGGTAAACAGGGGTTAGCTCGCCACCCTGGAAATGGGTACACCATGGGACCAGCAGGTGGCGTAGTGGTTAAGGCACTGGACGCCCACAGGGTTTGAGTCCTAGACCCATGCCAGGTGCATGTGCATCATGCCCCAAATCCTGAGAAGAGAATGGGGGAAGGGATTGGGGGCATAGTTGCCTCCCAGGAGGGGTGATTTCTTGCTGTCTGTCTCTCTGTCTTTCTTTGTCTCTCCAGAGAACTCACATGCCCTATAGTAAAAATATCTCTCCCTCCCACCACCCCTCCAAAAAAGAAAAGAAACAGGCACACTGCCGTTGTCGCCTCTAAACCATTCCCCTTCTTGCTTTTCTGAGAAAAAGTGCACAAGGTGCTTGCTCCTTCACTCTTACTTTTGTATTTCCTCATCTTCTTTATTTTTTAAGTTGATCCATTTACTTATAGAGGTCTCAGGATGCGAACCTGCGTCCTTTCCACATGAGTGCACTGCATCATCACCGGGCCCTTCATTTCCTCATTTCTGATAGTGCCTCTATGCGAGTGGCAACCAGGTTGGAGACTCAGGATTAGCCTTCGTTTCTTGGACAGTTTCCTCATCTCTAAAATGGGGATACTGTTTTCTTGCCGTCAGTTTCTTGCAGAGTTGTCTGGAGCTCAGATAAGATAATGAATGCAACAGCCTTTGTGAACCACGAGGGCTTAGACAATGGCAGTGGGGGGCTCTGGTGGCATGACACGTAGCCCTGCTCTGTTGTCACTGTGATACTGCGTCTAAAGCAAACTCGGGTCTGCGGGGCTGTCTCCTGGCCATTTACTTGTGGGAAAATCTCTGCCGAATGCCATGAGGGGGACTGTTGCTTAGCCCTCTCTCCGTATCCTGCTTGCAACCCTCAGGAAGGATCTGAGTCAACAGATGACTCCGGCATAGTTAACAAATCTTTCATCGATGGTTTAAAGGGTCCTGCAGCTATTTTCATCACTTACTCAAGGTAGATTTATTGCTGAAACAGTCTGGCAACCTTCCTTGTTTGGAGCCAAGCTTTGGCAATACCTGCTCTCAACATGTTGCTCCGTGAAACTATGTGGGGTTGTCTTCTGACCAGAGGCCCTGAGTCTGATGGAGCGCTGGGCTTCTGGAAGCTCCTCTTCCCCCCAGCCAGCCTCTCCTTTCCTCTGTGCTCCCCAGCCCTGGCCTCCCTTCACATTCCCATGCTTGGTGTCATTGGATCAGGAGTAAAGGCCACACGTGAGGCTACCCCCTCCCTCCAACTCTCCTTCCTCGGCCCATCTGCTCCTGGAGGCTGCTCTGGGTTTAAACGGAGAGAGCTGGTGAAAGAGATGCAGACTCAGGCTGGTTCGGAAGTATCTGCTCAGATTTTAGTGACCTGGGGAAGCCTGATGGGCCCTGAGAATTCCTCAGTTTGAGGCAGCACTGCATTAAGGACTTTTTTTTTTTGGAACAGGGTGTGGAGCAGCAGGCGGCATAGTGGTTGTGGTGCTGGACTCCCACAAGGCCAACTGTGGTTTGAGTCCTGGACCGGGTGACTTGAAACTCATGCCAGGAGCATGTGTGTGTGTGCCTAATAATCCCAAGAGGAGAATGGAGTAGAAGGGATTGTGGCATGGCCATCCCCACTGGGGGGGGGGGTTCACTTTTTCTCTGTTTCTCTCCATGTCTCAGGTGAGTGCTTGTACCCTAAAGCAAATTTCTCTCTCTCTCTCTCTCTATACACACACACACACACACACACACACACACACACACACACACATACACACACATCTTTTGGCATATTCTAGAATGGTCATTGGGGATCGAGCCAGAGCCCAGGTCTATCCTTCCTGTCAAACTCACCTGGAACCATACGCATTTCTGAGGGGGGAGGAAGCGAACCTCTAGCCAAATGGCCAGTCACCTACTGAAGAGTCTTAGCAACCAGCTTGTCTAAGCTGGGGCGTTGTGGGCGGGGATAGAGCACGGGCTTCTTTTTGGCTATATCCCAGGTGGTATGTGACTCAATCTTGATGATGGAAAACAGGATTTCTTTCTAAGTAAACACTATCACCATATGCTTGATAGAAACAGGTTTGCAAGTAAAGCACTGAACGTTTCAGCTGTTGAAAGGAAGCCACAATATGTAGTCTCTTTGTATCTTAAATACGGATTTAGATCACCCAAATGATGTGTATTGGGGTAGCATTTAGAGCTGAGGGAACTTTTTTTTTTTAAGAGATATTTTTTGCTATAGGGCGTGTGTGATCACTGGACAGACATAGACAGAAAGCAAGAAATCACTCCCCAGGGAAAGGGCCACACCACAATCCCTTCTCCATTCTCATCTTGGGATTTGGGGCATGCATGCATACGCACCCAGTGTGAGTTTCAAGCTGCTGGGTCCTGGACTCAAACTGCAGTCCACCATGTGGAAGTCCAGCACCCTAACCACCATGCTATCTGCTGGCGCTGCAGGGAACTTTTTACACCTGTCTTCTGCAGTTTTCCAGAACAACCCAGGAAGAGAGGAATGCAGATAACATTACTTGCGTTTTAGTGATGACCACATTGGGTGGGGATGAAGGGAATGCTTGGCCGAGGCCACATGTTGGGGGAATCTGGGATTTGCAGCCAGAATCTTTGCTACTTCTCTAGATAAGGTCTGGCAGAGAGAGGGAGGCCAGTTTTAAACTGGGGCCAGATGGTGGTGCGTCACCGAAGTGCAAGGCTGACCCGTGCGGGAAAGTTCCAGGTTCATGTGTGAAGACCTGGCACACATGTACCCATGATCCGGGGCTGCCTGACGCTGCGGTCATGGCACCCAGACCATGCTGGCAGTGCTGCCTCCCTTTTTTTCCCTCTTTCTGTCTCTCTCACATGAGAGAAATACATAAATAAGCTGGGGGAAGGGGAATAGGATGAAAGAGATTAAGGGGAGATGAAGTTAAAAATCAATGGAAATATCAGTCAGGGTTCAAGTTGAAGCCTCTGAGTTCCCTTTTCTTTAAAAATGTATTATTATCATTATTTTGACTCCTGAGATGATGGACCATTGGGCAGTGCAATTAGTTAGTAATTACACATTAAAAACACGAGCTTGGGAAGCCTGTAATTAACACTAATTGAGCACTTACTATGTGCCAAGTCCTGCACAGCTCACTCAACTCCCATATACAAGCTTGTGAGGTAGAAGTACAGCGGTCATCTCTGTTTTATAAATGGGGAACCCAAGGCCCAGAAAGGTCACACGAGCTGGAATCTGGTGCTGATAGCCACATGTTCAGTCACTGTCCCACACTGCTTCTCTGCTATCTGCCTGATTGTGACAGCACCTTGGTACATGCCCTCAATTAGGGAAGTCCCTTGATCCCTTAGGTGCACAGTGTGAATTCACTCCCCTGCCTCCCCCAAAATAGAAGCACTGCTGGGGACCAGCCAATGGCATAATGGTTATTGTTGCTGGATTTGCACATGGTTAACTGTGGTTCAAGTCCCGGACTTGGTGGCTTCAAACTTACACTGGGCATTGTGTGTGTGTGTGTGTGTGTGCCCAAGATCCTGCGAGGAAAATGGAGGAGAAGGGACTGTGGTGTGACCATTCCCCCTTAGAGGTGATTTCTTGCTTTCTGTCTTTCTGGTGAGTACATACGCCCTATAGTAAAAAATCCCTCTTTAAAAACAAAACAAAACAAAACAAAACATTGCTGTCCAGTATTCTAGATTGATCCTAGAGCATCAGTCTCTAAGGAAATTAACTGGGGACAGCAAGGTTTTTGAAGACAGGATATAAAGCAAGATAGTGTGTGCCACCTGGGAAGGACAGCAGGTCCCCACACAGGGGCATTACCTTGGAGAGTCCACTTCCCCCCAGTATAATGGTAGCCCAGAAACCTGATCTCAGTGTCCAGAATCAACTGGTCTCTGGGATGCTGACTCACATTAGCTAACTGCAGAGAGACTGAGGAATAGGCCAGGGTACTCATTTACAGAGAAACACAATTGCCTGAGCAGCACACCGCAGGTAGAACAACTGCCTGCGGGCCAGGTTATGGCTGGGATTTCCTGGTACCCCAGTTAAGATGCCAGCCAGGCCTATGGTTGCACAGTTTAATGGCACCAGGCTCTGAGAACCTGCTATGCCCTACTGGTTTAGTAGGCAGATTCCCTACTTACCCCAACTAGATCCTCGTCCCAAGGAGAGGGCTCTATCAGGTGCTGACACTTTTTCCTAGTAAATTCTTTTTCATTTCAGAAAAAATTACCTTTATATCATGATAAGCTCTTACTCTTTTTCGTCTCTCTGCAACCAGCCAAAGCCCTAGTCTTGGTGTATAACTCTTACCCCATTATCTTTTTCCATTTTCCTTACTAAAGGCCACTCTGGCCCTTAATGCTTTGAGTTCTCAACAATAATATTGATGGGCAAAAAATCCCTATAGTACTGAATAGCTTTCAGATGGTGTCCAGTAATTTTCTGTGCAGTAATGAGGGAAGTCTTGTGCCCATTACAGAGACGAGCGAGTGGAAGCTTGAAGAGGTTAAGTGACTTGCTCAAGATCTCATATATTTGTGTGTGTGTGTGTATACGTGTGTGTATATATATATATATATGTAGGCACATATACACATATATCTTTTGTATAGAAAATGAGAAAACAGTCAATGCATTTCAGAACTCTGGCCCCAAAGCCTGTGTTTTTTTCACATAATATTGCCACAAAAATCACAGGATTATTTTTTCTTTGAGAGATTTTTTTTGCTATAGGGTGCATGCACTTACTGGAGAGACAGAGAGAGATAGAGAGACAGAAAGCGAGAAATCCCCCCCGGGGGTGGGGTATGGTATGCAGCAATCTCTCCTTCTCCATTCTTCTCTCAGGATCTTGGGCACACTCACACATGCACCTGGTGTAAGTTTTTTTTTGTTTTTTTGTTTTTTAGAGGCTTATGCTATAGGGTGTGTGTGTTCGTCAGAAAGACAGAGAGAGACAGAGAGACAGAAAGCGAGAAATCACCCCCCGGGGCGATGGCCACACCACAATCCCTTCTCCTCCATTCTCCTCTTGGGATCTTGGGCACGCATGCACATGCACCCGGCATGAGTTTAAGCCACTGGGTCCAGGACTCAAACTGTGGTCGGCTACATGGGAGTCCAGCGACATAGCCTTTAACCAGCTAACTGCTGGTCCCTCTGGTGTAAGTTTAAGAGATTGTGGTGTGGTCACTCCCCTGGGGGGTGATTTCTCACTTTCTCTGTCTGTCTCGCTCTGGCAAACATGTGACCACCATGGTAAACTACAAATAAATAAACAAAAACCAGATAAAACCCCCCACAAAAGCACACAATAAAAACAGTTTCCTGGTTTCAGTAGCTACATTTCAAGTGCTCAATAGCCACTTGCAGCTAATGGCTTCTGTGTTGAACGGCACACAGAGGCCATTCCAGCATGGCAGAAGTACTACCAAACGGTGCTGGTTTACACTGACGCCTTCGTTTTACTGATGTGGGCAATGAAATCTCTAGGCCTTATTTTGAAAAACTCCATTAAGGTGTTAAAAATCCAAATATTTGAGAAAAGAATAGATCATAAAATCAACATGTACCTTGTCCAAAAGCTTTTCCTTGTTGCATCCAAAATGGAGGGAAGACTGGCAGGAAATGGTATTTGGGGGGTACCCCCGAAAGGTCCTGTTGTGGCCTGAGATTCTTAGGTACATTAAGTTGAGTGTCCTGGAGCAGCACAGAATCCTTGATGTATCCTGAGGGATAGGCT